AAAAAAATCTGCAATGTTATTGGTCCTGATCTAGCATCTCGGCTTCAGCCACTCTTCCACCGCCGAAACGTAGATTCCCTGTGACTTTTCTATAAATACTTTCATGATAATTGTTTTGATGAGATTTCTTCTATAGTACCTAGTCTTTGTGAATTTAAGCACAGTACTACATTGGCGGCAAGGTCTCATCATTTTACAGTTGAATTGGCTAGATGTAACCGTAAATTCTATGCTAATAGTTTCCTTTCTCACACTTCTCACTTGTGGAACTCTCTTCTGGCTTCTTTCTTCCCAGTTAAGTTTGAGCTTCAAAAATTTAAATGCAATGTTAATAGTTATGTTCTTAATTCCTGTTCTTCGTCTTCTTAACTTCTTTTCTTTTAGTGTTCTCCTTTATTAATAGTATTTTTTTGTTCTCATATACTCTAACAGTAACCCTTTTCATCTTGGTGGTCTTGTAATAATTAAAAAAACAAAAAAACTTATGACAAACTCGTATCCTTTTTTACTCGGGATGCCTGTATCAGCGCAACAGTTGCTCTTGAGCAATGAGCTCCAACAATTACAATCAACAATTCACACCGCTTACTAATAGACATAGAACAACATCCCGAGTAGTCGCAATAAAACATGTCTGTAATAATATTAAAAAGAGTACTAAAAATATTACTACAGTGTAACCCGGATATAAGAGAGTTGTCGGGACCGGAGAAGGTCTCTTATATCCGGGTTTCTCTTATATCCGGGTTTGGTCTGTTATATATACATTAACACAGGCTCTAATTTGGGACCAGAGAAAATCTCTCTTATATCCGGGTTTCTCTTATATACTGGTCTCTTATATGCGGGTTACACTGTATATAGTAATATTAGTGGGGGATGAAGTCGATTTGCCGAGTCTTTTTTTTGTCGTTTGACTTCTTCCTTTTACTCTTGTGGTGGCTTCTAAATTTTTGGTCCTGATGGTGATAGAACATCGCCAGTTGATACGATCTTGTGCTTGTGTTTCAAATGATGTTCAAATCCAATGGTTTCAGTGTCGTTTTGAGTTAGTTTTTGTATCTTCGAAGTAATCTTACTGAATGAGAATTGGTATGGAAATCTTGACTCTTCCATTTTTGCTACAAGTCCCGATCATCGAAGACGGTGTTTAATGATCAGTGATTCGATGCTTTGACTGTTGACGCTTTCCAAGGTGTTGGTCACATAGTAATCCCATTTGATGTTCAAGATTAAACGAAGCTTTTGCTGGTGAAAGCGTTCTAATTTTTGGATATCGCGATGATATAGAGTCCAGTTGTCGCAACTATAGCAAAGTTGAAATGACGACAGCATCATAGACCATAATTTTTGTTATTAAGTTCATCTATTAATTAATACAAGAAAAGGAAAAACTATTAGAAAATTAATAACGGCAATGAATCATGTAAGTAATTCGGACAATTGCAGTGGCAAAAGGTCACTTGGAAACCAAGGCATGCAGTCCTTGATGCAGGACAATTCCCAAAGCAGAGAGTGAAGCGGTGGAACCTTACTCGCCACTTCAGACTGCAGTATTTATAATAAATCTATTAATTTTGTGGGGTGCTTCACCACATGAATTTAACATTGATAAGAAACAGAACTCACGCAAGAAGAATAACCACAAGACATTGTTGCACATAAAATATATATATGTACAATATCAAACAACGATGTGAAAGAAAACATCCATTTAAGTAAGAAAGGTTGAATTAATCAAGAGTTGCCTCTCTTTGACTGAAATTTAAGAGTTCAGTGAGAGATAATTATTTGGTTTAAAGTTCACTGGATAAATGTTCATGAGTGTTTCATGATGTAATTGTTCTTGTGATATTACTGTTGAAAAGTGTAGTTGTGTTAAAAGAAGTTTTTAGTGAAGGTGTACAAATCATCATCAGCATGTGGGTGTGCGTGAGAGTTAGAAGGTTCGCGCGTGGTTAGAACTGGAGTTCCAACTGTCGTAGATTCGTTTGGCAGTGGAGGTCTCACTAATTGAGATGAGAAACATTTTGGCTTAAACAAGGGACTATAGGCTCCGATTCGTTGCGCGGGAAAATTATTGTTCACGAGCAAACGATCTGATTGGTTGGCATCAATCAATCAGCAAGCGAGCTTTGGGAGACTTAAAGAAACTTCTGTGAGCCACTTCTCCCAAAAGTGCACAAATTTGACTACATAAAAATAAAGCGATTCCAAAATTGTCGCATTACTGCGATTTGTAAATTGCCTGTAGAAAATATATTAGTGATTTATTAGCCAATGATCGTTTGGCATTGTACATATGATTTTGTGTTTGTATGTATATGTTCGTGCGTAAGTAGGTTCGCACAACTTTAATAAAAATTACCGAAAATACCAAAAAATTTAACTTAAGCTTTGATTTGGCGTTTAAATTAATTGTTTAAAATTTAATGAATAATGTTCAAAACATATTCGATTTATTGAGGTTTATGTGATTTGTATAATAACTTCCAACGGCCTGTATTAAATAATATTACCAATGTTTATTTGTTTGGACATCGACAAAGGCTTACTTATTTTCTTTTTTTTTTTTTCACTAACTTATTACTGGATGATTGACATCACCTCCTGTCGATGTCCCTCCCTTGAAAATTACCTTTCTCTTATCTAATTTCATTGGTTAGTCGTGTTCACTGAGTGTTGGTGAACCCATAACCTTTAGCGTTTCACTCTTATTGCAATGTTTTCTAACATTCATACACACTAGAAATGGATTTAACACTGTGTAGAAGCGTGGAAAATGACGGACGCGGAAAATGTCAGTTTGCTCCGATAAATTTGTTTCTTGAAGAAATAGTATACAATAAACTAGGTGTTTTTATTTATTTATAGCTATATTTGAAAATTATTTCTTCAAAGCTGGAAGGAAAAGTTCAATAAAAATAGATAAACAACAGGAAAAAATAAATGCGACGCTTGAGTATCTGTAATTATTTGGATTTGATTGAAATGGTAATGATAATAATAGTTATGGTAATATTAGCCGTTTCCTTATAAGAAAACATTTGGCATTCATTGACCGAGCAGCCTGTACTGTAGTCGGTTGAAATTTATAAAATCTTTCTCTAAAAAACAAACAGTTTTTTAAGAGAATAGGTTTCTCAAGTCCAGTAGCTGTTATCGTATTGATGGGGTTTTCCTTCCTAACCTTTTGTTTGAAGTATTGTGGAACATCAGCCTCTTGACTATGTCATTATTTTCTCTTTGATTTACATATGATATCCATTTTAGCTGTTGATGCTGTTGAAAGTCTTCAAATGATGTGGTTTCTGTTATTTGATAAAGCAATTTGTGATTCTGTAGCGCCAGTCCACAAGGTTCGAAGAAGAGTGGTTTTCGCCAAGATCCACAGGCTTCATTCACTGAAAACAATTTTTAACCGTTGATCTGAGAAAGCAGTTGCATACAGTTGATAATTTAGATATTCCTGAACGGGATTGATGCCATGCATAATATCCATATGAAAGGTTCGATCTGACGAGACTATTTAAGTTCATGGAAAGAGCCTATTATTAAAGATAAAAAGAAGAAACGTTATGCCAGAAGAAAAATTTGTGAAGTATTACTAAATGCTTCGTTCTACTGCCCCCTCTTAGTTACACCCACCCCGTAGATAATATAGCTACAAATGAGGATGGATTCATGCCTTTCTCAAGTACATAGTGCGAAGGTGAATGCAACAAATTAGGCTGGAATTTGAACACGGTTCGTCGGTTTCTCTTTCTACGCCGATGTCCGTTACACTTGTCGCACCTCCAAGGTGTGACTAGTGAATGAAAAAAATATTTTGCAAGAGAATATGTGTCAGAAGAATCCGAGATAGAATTCTATCTATGTCAAATTATGTGTAAATGATTTGTTTGGAGTAAAGAAATGCAAAAATTGTTCGTATTGTCCATTGTCACAAGCGTTTTCGGCCATTTTAACCATTTTAAAGGGGGGGTTGTTTTAGGTTTTGTTCATTTCTTTTCATGTTTGACTGTTTAAGATGTATTTTTTGCTTTCTTTTGAATACTTGTAGGGGCGTTTATTCTGAGCTTATATATAAGTATAATATATATATATATATATATATATATATATATATATATATATATATATATATATATATATATGATACATCTAATGATGATCCCATGTGGTGAAACCTAGGTAGATAGTACCTGGCTCATTAGGATTTATTTATTTTACTTTTGCTCTACTTAGTGTATTGAGCACTCTTCATTTTAACTTATTACTCACTGTTTTTTTTTTTTGTACCATAAATTTAATGTACTGGAGGATTTCTGTATCTATATATATTTCTGAAATGAGGTATTATGTACACTACTGACATTATTCGGACTATTGTCTTCATCTTTGTCGCCATATTTATTACAACGATTCGGCCCTTTAGTATCTGTCTATATTTCTGAGATGAGGTATTATGTACATTATTTAATTTACATTATTCGGACAATGGATGTCAGTTATCAGTCATCTCCAGTTAATTTCCCTCTGAAAGTTCTCCACTGCCTTAGCCGGGCGTGACACGTGGAACTGGAACAGTCTACCTCAGTGAGCGAAATAAAGGGTTCAGTTCGACATTACAACCACCTGAAGAAGGCCGGAGCGTAAACGTTGTAATAAATATGGAGACAAAGATGAGTCCGAATAAATGTAAATAATGGAGGATTTCTTTCGCCCTGTTCGGAGGTTTCTGGTGCTTTCTTTTTTTTCCATTTTTCTTCGGATGACAAAATTTATTTGAAAACTATTTTCCGTTCTCTCTCTGAGTAAAAAAAAAAAAAAAAAAAAAAATGTTGTAAGTTTCTTTAAGAATGGAAATTAAATAATTATCTACAATTGTCACATCATGTCTCCGCCCATTCATGTCTCACCCTCTCATCCAACCGAATTGTTCAGATAGGGCAGCAGGAGCAGCGCGGTAACTCCGGCATAGAAGAAAAAAAGTTACGATGGCTGACGATGGGAGTTTTTCCCGATCATCTACAATTTGTTTTTTTCTTATCTTGATGCTGTCTGAAGTTATCGGGATTCGCACTGGGGATCATGTTTTTACTAGAAGGAATTTACTTCAATTATTGAATGATCAAGGACTAACTAAAGTGAGTTTATTAATGTTTTTTTATTAGTTTCACAAACGAGCTTTCCCTCTTTCTTTTTTTTACCTGTGTCAGTCGTTCACCTGTTTCAAAACTACTGATAATAAAAATGTCATTTTTAAAAATCAAGTTGGCATATTATTTTTTTATTTTCTAAATGTTCAGAATTTATATTTTCAAACTTAGATAGGAATGATTGTTTCGTTTATTAAATTTATTTTTACAAAGTCTGAAAAATATACAAACATTTCTCACCTGTTGTTTTTTTACAGTTAAAACTTCTTCCGGTTTTTGTTGATTATTTTTTATCCATTGTAACATTTAGCGTTCGGTTTCTTTTTGAATTTTTCGTGCTTAATTATTTAGATACAGTTGTTTTATTAATTAGAATTAATTAAAGAATTGTTATACAAAAAACTAAAAACAGAAACCGATTTTTTATTGTTTTATTTCGAGTGAGGGAGTTCATTTTAGTCTTAAATTTGAAATTGACACCGACAAAGCGTAAACTTCTTGGGAAATGTTACATTAGTCGACGGTGGAAACTATCATTTTAGGTCTTGGGAATTATTTAAACGACTCTTAAATAAACCATTCTCAAATTTCTTAATCTGAAACGGTAAAAAAAACAAAAAAACTCTGTCCATAAAAGTATTTCTTTCATTTGATTAATGTCAGTTGATAATAACAAAAACTGAAACGTCCCCACAGGCCTGCAACAACAATGAGGCCAATGAGGTATTGTATGTTGAAAAGCTGGATTATTAAAAAAAATCCAATAGAAATGCTAACTTAAGAAAGAAATAAGAAAACTTTATAAATCTCTTTAATGTTTTGTTATTAATTAGCTTCATCAGAAATTTTGAGGGTAGAATAATTCAGAGTTATATTTCAGTTCAATCACTGAAAGCAACATAGAATTAAAAATTGAAATTGAAGCATTCCACTCAATATTTCAGATGAAGGTAAATGAATAGTGAAATTGGAAATGTATTTGATCTCTTACTTGTTCCTTCTAGCGTGTGATTTCTGGTCATATTTGCTACCTCTTTTAAATTAAAATTCTTGGATGAAATGTTTCAGACGCTCGATAAACTGGAGGAAGATATTTGAAAATCCGATATTTTAATAATAATAAGTACCTCCAAAGATTCGCTAAAAGTAAAAACAAAGAGTAATGAAAAAATAGCAGAAACTTAATTTAAAAAAACCCAAAAAACTAAGTTTTATCATCAAAATATTTATTATTAAATGAAAAAAATCAAAGGATATTTTGCTGCAAAAATGATTTTTTAAAATCCTTTTTAGAAGCTTCTAAATTTTGGTTAAAGATCTTGTTTTTCTAGCATCAACTATAAACTGGTACGGACTATATTGGTACGAGAAATTTGAGCGTCTTTTTGCGGTAAAAAGCAAATTGATTTGAAAATTCTTGCAAAAATCAGATAATTGTCGGATTGCAATGAAACGTTCAGGACTTATTCACAAATAAAATCAAATTATTTTTTAAATGTTTCCATGATGTTTTTTTAATAGAAAATCTTGGGAAAAATATTTTTTCTTACATCTGTTACCCCCTCGCCCATTTAATTTTATGAAATTTCTAGAAAGTCTTTTTTGTCAGGCTTAATTAATTATAAGGACAAGTCCCCGGAGAATTTAGATCATCAATTTGTTTTGGGCAAACAAAGAAAATCTGCTTTGAATCGTAAAATAAAAATAAATGCAATAAGACCTCTTTTAATTAGAAAAGCTTTGTCTGATGAAAAACGTATTTTTCTTAAATTTTTCTTTCTTTTTTTTTATTTATAAAGAATGAATTTTTACAAGAATTGTTTTCAGTTTTTTTTTATTTTAAATTTAATTAGAATAACTTGTAAATTTTAAAATCTTTAATTTGTAAATGCCAAGTGGCATTGTTCTTAAGTAAAAACTAATACTAATCATAAATGGAAAAACTTACTACATCCGCAAGTAATTTACAAAGAATTTTGAATTTTGTGTAAACGTGCCGATTTTTGTAAATACGGAAGTCCATACATGTCATTATTAGAAAATAAGAACGGCAACTATAGTAAATTTAAAATTTATTGGTAATTTTCGATATTTCCTCAACAAGCGTCTTCATAAGTAAGGAAGCCAAAGTACATAAAATTCAATAAAATATTAGAATGCTTAAAATATTTAACATTTTTAATATTGCTGGGTAGTTAGCAAAAATTATATAAAAAAGACGTTTACATTTTATCTGTCATGTGATTTTAATACAGTTGCTCTGCCTGACATAAATTAGTCAAATGAGGCTGTTGATATATGCATCAAAACATAAAAACACCTATATTTGTGCTAAAAATGCCTTTCTGTGAAATTTTAACTAAAAGTAAGTAATATTTGTTTCAATTCAGATTAATTAAACTTTAAACCAGTTAATTTTTCTCAAAGTTTCATAAAATTATATTTTATTATTAAAAGATTTTTAATAAAGAGAATTATGTTGTTTGCAGATTTGTCAATATGGATGACTTTATCAATATTACTGACAATAAAAAAAACTCATTCCAATCAATTTAAGTTCAGTTTTGTCAACCCAATTTTACTCACAAGGCTTTGGTCAACTCGTGGTGTGATTTTTAAGGCAGTTTCAAATACTGTTGCATGCATGGATTGTTGTTCTGACAAAGTAACCATTGTGGGATTAAAACTCAGGTCTCAAGGTTAGAACTTGAACTTTCTAACCAATCATTAAGCTTTGAACCATTGTAATTGTATCTTAGAAAGGATTAAAGATTGAAAAGGAGTGAAATAAAGTTATATATATATTATTCCAGGATTATTTCCCAACTTATTCAAGATGATCTTTGCTCTCTCTAATCTAACTTTCTGTTTTGGAGTAACAATGTGTCTCATATGTTTACATACAATTTCATTTTCAAGTCATTTTTCACTGCTCTTTGGACTGTAATAGCTGAAACTTCTCTCTCATGTGCCAAATGTCTTATGGATTGAGTTGGATCTTTTCTAATTGATCTCTTTAGCTCTAAGTTGAAATGATGATCCCTCTTTCTGTTGTGACCTCCTGATCCAGTTTTCCTCTCACTGTTCACCATTCTCTTGATGATTCGAGAATGGACTTTGAAGCTCGTATTTTATTTATACAGAGCAATAGATAAACAATCCAGAATTTTTTTTTTTTACCTCATGTAGGGAATAGACTATTTCAGCAGATGATAAATGTGATAGTCTATTTCCTACATGAGGTAAAAAGATTTATCTTAATTGTTATATATATATGAGAGAGAGAAGATCCATGATTTTGAGCTGGGTGAGTAGATAGAGGGTAAAGTCAGTAATCAATATCTTGGTGCTAAGTTTGTTGGGAGTTTTTTCACTTGTATTTCAGTCATGGATATTTTTTAGCATCAGAATTAACAAAGAATAAAAATAATAAGCAAAGAAATTTACTAAAAATCAATATATAAAAACTTTATATAAAATGAGACAGAATACATCTTAAAATTATATAGATGGAAAACAAAATATTTTTTTGTTTTTTAGGATATGAAGGAAAAAAAAGAAATACTTTTTGTATAATTAATATAATAAAAACAAAATAACAAATATCATAACCACTCATGCTAAATTTAGTGGAAATTAAATTCTGCATTTCATGTGCTCAAAAACATATGTTTGGTTACTATGGAAACAATGAGTTTTATAAACAGGAGCAGCAACCCCTTTCTTCCTCCTTTTTTTTTTTTTTTTTTTTTTTTTTTCTCTGGACATTATTTATGAGATTCTGCCTTTTCTTCTTTTTTTTCATTGGTTTGTCACTGTAAAAAAAACAAAAAAATCATTGAGTAGACTTCACCCAAAATGCAGCCTTCACAACTAGACATGTTTCATCATCCTGAAAAAAAAATTGTACATTTTATGTATTGGCATTTTATATGCTAACCACACTTGTACATTTCTTTCTTATTTATTTGTTATAAATTGTTTTCCATGTAATTCATGCTGAGTGGTTTGGTCTTTTTCTTTATTGGTTCTATCCAGTCTTGTATGATTTGCATTTTTCATCTTTCTTTCCAAATCTTCTTTCTATGACTAGTAAGAATAAAGTGTGTGGCCCACAGTAACATCACTTGTTACTTTCAGGCAGAATGACCATGTGTCTTTGTTTGAATGTACTTTAGAGAGATACCTTTTTAAAAGCTTTAGCTAAGAAAAGGATAGAACTCACAAGAAATGTATATATTAGTAGCTATTCAAATGTTCTTGAAATTTCAAGCAAGAAGCAAGAAATGGCTTCCTGAAAGTAAAGAAAAAAAAAAGAATTGATAGAAAATTAAGTCTTTAATGATAGTGATGTTTTGATAAATAAACTGAAATTTTTTCTTTTTTTTTTTACATTTGAATGGATTTTTATTTTTCTTCTGAAAATGTTGTTACATTTTCAGAATAACTGATCTATGAGGCAAGCATTCTTATTTGTTCCATCCAATGGACAGTTCCAACATAGTATTCATTTGTACACCCACCTCAATTGGCCAACCAGACACTCCTGCATTGAAAACCCTGTTAGCAGCAGTAACCCAATTTCAAGTTTTGGGTTTACATAGAAAAACTAGGAGCATGCATAGCTCAAATCCCAAAAGGTTCAATTTTTTTTAATACCAAAGATTAGGTAGAACATATGTATAGCTTAGACAAGACACCTCACTCACTCTTTCAATCGTTAAAAGAATAAGTTCGAGAACTTCCATTTCTTTATTTTTAGAAGGACTAATTGAATTAAAATTTTTATATTTAGTTAAGATTTTAAAATTTAATTTTAAAATAGATTAATTTTTTAATTAAAATTTGTATTTGCAGCAAATTTACAATATTTTAAAAAAATATTTAAAGAAAGTCAGCAAGGATATAACTTAATTTTAATACTAAGTTGAAACAACATTATTATTTTCTAATAAATGTAGTATTTTAAATGAACAAACAATTTAGAT